GATTGGATGTGGGGAAGAAAGGTGAGGTCCGAGTCAAGGATGACACCTTGGCATGGGGCGAGGGCTGATGTAGTAGTGCCTTACCTGAGTCTGGTGTTCCGTGTCCACATGATCAAGTTGACTCTCATGAGTGATCATTAAGCCATGTGGCTAACTCTGTGAAGCACTTTGTTTTTTATAATTGTTCTGAAACAGCGGATCTCCCTTCTGGTTTCAGACAATGGACAGCTCTTCTGACTTTGCTCATTCATAATTTTTGTTACTACTTACTATCTGCTCTAACCCACCGCCCCCTTCCCACAAACACACACATCGCCCATATCCCTTGTGGTTCCACAACTTTTGTTCCACAAAAGAAAGCAAATAAACACTGCACCATCCACTAATACCATTAGAAATATCAGAGAGAAGATTGTGGTGGACCTGCTGGTGCGGCAATGTGTTCAAGAATGGTCAGGTTATTCGCTGCACTTCGATCTTGCTGAGGCATCTGCCTGTCTATGACCAGCCTTAGGGAGAGCTTCAGACAAAATAAGCAGGCCTGTATATGACTGGTTGCTACGGGCAAAGTCCCATATATGTAAGTTAATGTGTTATGTATATATTTAATTATCAGCTTTTCTACAATGTATATTTATATAGGTCACATTTTGACACTGTGAAGACCAAAGTAAATTTGCGAAGAAATGTGTGACCTTTTCATTGAAATTAGTTCTTGGTCATAAAAAAAGCTTCAGGCTCTTATGGGGGGATCAGCAGCTGCCCCTGACCCCCCTACTTGATTTGATCTGCAGATGTAAATAATAATTTATGGGAGCAACAAATATGGTGCAGTGCAGGCAGCCCCAGTCCTGGGCTGGAGCAGCTAAAGGGATGGGAATTAATAGAAAGCAGCACCAGGGGCCAGGAGCTATTAGCAGGCGCTATTCTTCACAGCTCCCATCAGGATTAATCATTGAGAGTTAATTTGAAGCTCAGACAAGTTGCTGTTAATTTAGTGCGGGGAGGACGGGATGGGGAGAGCCCAAACCCCCCGAGTCCCATTAATCAGCAGCCTCAGACGGCCCTGCCTTGATTACAATTTGCAAAAAAATTCATTAGCGCCTGGGCCAGTGACAATTTTTCTCTTTGCCTGTGATGTGACTCATTAGGCAGCCAAATGAAAGCTGTGATGATGGCTGCAATCAAACCCCTCCACTTGTTTATCTTCTCCCTGCCTCTCCAGTGCAGGATCAAGGCCCTCTCCAGCACCCACTCCCCACTCCCTGCCCCCTCTCCTGGCTGGCTCTCCCCTAACACCTTGCTGCTCTTCAGCTCTCCCTTTGCTCCTTTTCCCTTTCTGAGGAGAGTTATAACCAAATGCAGCTCCTCATGATACACTATCATCAAATGAAACCCCCATTTTTCACATTTACTGTCTATGTGTACATCTTCATGTCCTTTTCTGTAGGTTGGCATTGACATCCCACCCTGCTCTGGCTGGCTACTTTCTCCATGTGAACTGCTTTTCACTCATCATGACCAGTACCTAGAGTGCTGTACTATGCAGATGTGAGCAATGTAGAGTAGACATGATATCTTTTATTGACCAAGTAAATGAAAATGGCAAGCATTTTAGACAGGTCAGGTCACTTTGTCATGAACAGGAGCCATGAACATTGTGTCAGTGTGTTTTACCTTTTATACATATTTACCTGACCCTTGTCCTTGGTTTCTTCAAGGGTTAGTCCATGCAGAAGCTGCTGTTTAATTTTTGGTACACAACAGCTTTTTGAATTGCTAACTGTATTTTCTCCTCACTTCTCTTGCTGCATTCTCCTTCTGAGACAGAGTAGCTGAGTACTTGAGCACAGATATGTTACCATCGCCAGTCTCCAAGGGATATACATTTCCTACATCTATCTCAAATTGGAATGGTAGTTTTAGGTGGACCAACATTATTCTTATCTTTTCCCCCCAATTTTTATTGCTTGGGGTTGAAACACATTCACACTTTGTGACTATAATGCTTTTTTGAGACCAACCCTTCAGTTAATGTTTTTTTCACATGCCATTCCAGTGTCCTGAAATTTCTAACAAGTACAATCTTTGTGGCTCATTTGACAATATGTTCAGATATTTTTTTTTTTACCATTCATCCTTTCAGTCCTTTCTGCTGTTTACAAACCACTTTACTGACTCAGATCCGTGTACCACTTACATTTAACTGTCTTGAGTTTGGGATTTGTGGAAATGCAATATTTACAAAAGGTAGATTACTAAAGTGTTGCTTTCATCTTAAAATGCAATACAAAATGTGACATCTTAGAAGATCTGCTTGACCTATGGGATCAGTCAATTTATTTCATTATGTTGTCTAAGATATTACATTTCATCTGCTGGAAGTCTGATCTCTGTATCTATCACTTGGTAAATCCAGAGAATTGCTGCTGCCTCTTGCAGGTAGGAAATTGGATGGTAAAAAGTTATTCCTTCTTAATAAAGAGACTTGGAATGTGCAAGACTGAAGTGATTTTGACCAATCAATGTGTTGATGCTGCAATCTATTTCTGAACTAAGCGGTGCCACCTGTATGTACTTTTGTGGCTCTGTGTATAGGATCTTTGTATTTTGTATGCAAACTACCACCCTGGTGTATCTACATACATGTACACTCGTGTTTCCATGTACGGCTGTTGTAACTAAGCATAAAGCAATGCTTGTATACATGTAATACACTTGTTTCCCTTTGCTTGCCTTTTCTAGCACAAGTTGTAACTGTTGTTTTCTTATTTCAATACAAATATTTAATTTAAAAAAAAAAACAAATAATATGTCACACTTTTTATTATGTCTATGTGTTTTTCCTAGTCAGATCTCTCTTATAAAATGTATATGATTTCCGGATGTCATTTTGTTACAAGATAGTGGGAATCTCTTTAGCCATATTTAGATCTCACTTCTGCATTGAAGGAAAAAAATTAATTTAAATTAGTTCCATGATTTAAAACCATGTCAGAAATCTTCCACTGCAATTGCTGTACTTAACCTGCTCATAAGAGGGGGAAAAAGTACAATTATACTTTAACTGCGGGTTTTCCTTGCTTAGCTGAAATCACAAATATGTTTCTGTGTAAAATCAATACGACTAAAGTGAACAAAAATCGGTGTCACCTACAACTAACACTGTATAAGACGCTCTGTTAGAGTCTAACAGAGAATGTGCACTAATTGTACAAGTTAGAATAGACTGTTTGAAATACTTAGTTCTGACTGTTCTTAGTATCTAGGAGTATAAGCAGTTATTTATGAACCATGTCATATTTATCTATGTTATATATTCCATCCACTATATGTGTTGCTCTAAACAAATATGTATTCTGTCATTTAACTTTTCAGCCCCTACATCTCTCCTAAAATACAGAACCCTTTGCCTTGCATAGCAGGATATATTCAATAACACAACTAAGTTATATGTTACAATTGTTGTAAATCAAAAGCTATACAATGTTTTCCATTGTACTGTTGTTTCCTAAATCTGTGTACTACCAATAATTGTGTGTCTTTTGAATAATGTCCTAAATGGATTATCAATCTCCACATACAGTTAGACTTTCCAAGGACTATATTCAGGTATTGCTGAAAATAACTACAGTTAAAGATATGCGTTTAAACATTGTATGAATAACAATTCTTCACAAATAATCGTGCAGGCTGTGGTTGGTGAGAAGAGTTGAAACTTTTAGTTATATGCGTGCATCTGCTTTGGTTTTTCCTTCTTTTTCCTTGTAAAATGATACAACCCAAAAAAACAAACTGCTCATTTGACCAAATTCATTGCTGCCCTCCTCTATAGACCTTGGTAAGTTATGATTATCCTAAACACATATACTTAAAATATATATTATTCACATTAACCAAGTGAACGTGGATCATGGAGCAATCAGTAAGCAAGGGGATTGCGTGATTTGTTCATATTATTTTTACCATACGCTCTACCAGTTTTCCCCGATTTCAGCATAATATCGCTAGCAGAGACACCAAAATGTTGCATAGTAAAAAATATAATTCCACACTATGTATATGTTGTAGTTTCATTAACACCGCTGTTTACATCATTAACTGATTCATGTCCATAATCACACATGTACCTATGTGGTTTCTAATTATACCATTTTGTGAATATGATATCA